CTATGACTTTAAGCTTAACGGTTTGGATTTTGTAGGCTTGCCAATCATTTGTTGCACCATGGGTTAATGTGTTTATCCATTTCCAAGCTAGCCATATAGTAACTGCAAAGACCAGTGACCAAGGGGCATCGAATCTTGAGGGACTTGAGACCCTCAAATTATCCAAAAGCCAATTATCCAGGCTACTATTAAAAAAAGTCGAAGCCATCTCATGGTTCAGCAAATCCTTCCACACTTCTCTTATTTTATAGCAATCTCTTGCCATGTGAGTAATAATTTTCACCTCTTCCTGACATATGGGACAGGTTGGAGGGGATAAATGAATCCTGGATAACCAACTCCTTGTAGGAAGACGATGATGTGCAACTTTCCAAAGGAAAAGGCAAATCTGGTTAGGTCCACGAAGCTTCCAAATAAAAGGCTAGATATTATTCATTGGATTAGTTACACCATCATGGTTTCTTAGCGTAAGGTACAAATTCTTCACTGAAACTCTGTCAGACCCATTTAGATACCAACTCATTTGGTCTATTCCATGAGACGCATGGGGCGGGAGATGACTTCTTATGGTTTGGATGACTTCATTTGGAAGGAAATTCACAAGTGCTTCAGTATTCCAATCACCATTCTGCTTCACATACTCAATGACTTTTTTGTTGCTGTCCACTGGAGGAATGGGCTGTAAAGATTTGTCTGCTAAATTGCTTTCATGATCTATCCATTTATCAATCCAGAAATTCACTATTGCTTCAACCAAATGGCCCACATGTATTTCCATAGCTGAGAATTTCCATTTTTCCAAATAAAAGTATCATGATCATTGCAGGCTTTCAGCACTCTTGCCCATAGGCTTATGGGATTGGATACAAACGAAAAAATCAGTTTACCCAAAAAAGCCTCATTCATGGCTGATAGTTTTCTAATTCCCAAGTCCCACCCGATGAGATGGATATGTTTCTTCTCTTCAGAATCTTCCCATATGAAACGTCTTTGCAATTTTTCAAGCTCATTGCAAACAAAAAGAGGAATCATAGCACTTTGCATATGAAAGTATGGAATTGTTGATAAAACTGACTGTGCTAATACCTCCTTACCAGCTTGAGAAAGGCATTAAGCTTGCCAGCTCGTTAATCTTTCTTTGACTCTATCAGTGATACCTGCATACATATTTTTAGTTACCCTACCATGTTGAATCATCGCTCCAAGATATCTCCTTAAATTTGATACCCTTTTAAAACCATTTTTTTCTGTGATTCTTTTTGCTGTCCCTTATGGTGTAATCTTCGAAAAGTAAATACTAGTCTTATTTTCACTAACTTTTTGACCAGATATTTCCCCAAAGAGGTTTAGGCAACGCAACAGAATTTGAAGCTACTCTTTATTGGCCTCTATGAACAACATGAGATCATCCGCGAAGAGGAGATGAGAAATTTTTGGACCATCTTTCCCAGCTTGAATTGGATATTCCAAAGCCCTCCTTTCACTGTTGTATCAATATTGTGAGATAATTTTTCCATGGCTAAGACAAAAACATAAGGAGATAATGGGTCTCATTGTCTCACCCCCTGCTAGGCTGAAATTCCTCTGTTAAATTACCGTTCCAAACACCACTAATATTAGATGAGGTAATCGCTGTCATTATTAGGTAATTCCAGTTAAGATGATCATAAGCTTTCTCAAGGTCTACTTTAACTTCCATGAAGCATCACTTCCCCCTCATTCTTCTCATTGTGTGCACCAGTTCCTGTACTACAATAATATTATCTTGAATGTTGTAACGCCCGGCAACTTCAAGAATCAACGACTATCCCCACATTCTAACACGAGACTTTTCAGTGTGCTTTTTCCTCACTCGCACATTTTCCGAGAAAACTTCCCAGGAGGTCACCCATCCCAGAATTGCTCCAAGTCAAGCACGCTTAACTATGGAGTTCTTCCGTTCCGGGCTACCGAAAAGTAGATGCATCTTGTTAGTATAGGTAGTACCAATTAATTCTTATAAGTTATTCCCAACTTTACCGTCTCATACCAGCACAGTCTCTGGAATCCTTATCTTTCGGGTGTTGATTCGTTTCATTCATGAACCCCCAAGCTGCAAGATTTGGCATGAGCCGTTCATTGTCCGTGCCCTTTCGCACCGGCGATCACTCCCTGCCCTTGCCAGCTCTTAGGATGTTACAAATGTGGCGTTGAAGGACGAAGCTGGACTGTGCAGGGGAAATTACTTTCATCATGATGGGCTTGAGTCTATCTACTATGAGTTTGCTGATGATCTTGTAGATAACAGGGCACAACGAAATAGGCCTAAATTGGGAGATATGCGAGGGGGACTGAATTTTTGGAATCAAAACCAATAGGGTAGAATTGATAGAAGCCAAGATGTCTGGATTAAGCCAAATCTGATTGACTAGATAGTTATATTAATACGTGTGCTGCACAAATGTGGGCAAAAATTACTCCTTTATTGCATGGAAATAATAAGAACCGGGAATCGAAACCAAGAATATTTGTGTCAATTTATTTTATGATATTTCCTAAGGACTATAATAATCTTATAAAATTTTAATATTCGTGTTTAGTTAAGTTAATGTTCAAGAATATTTTTCTCCACTGAAATTTTCGATGTTAGAAGTAATACATATGCTAACTCAGAATGCAGCTGTTGTTAAGTTTTATGAATTCATTTGTAAACATCAATATCAATAACACATTTAACACAAATAAATTGAAGTCAGTGATAAATGAACCCAATAATAAATACGTGAAAATTGAAAATAAAATAAAATTGGGGACGGAAAAATAAGATAAAAAACAAGAAGGGGAAAAGAAAGGAGGATGAAGAAGATAAGGACTAAAAAGGAACCATATGGAACATAGGAATAACAACGGGTCTAACCCTTCCATCCTGTTTATAACTTTTCTCCATTCCGTTCTAAGGGTGTGCGTGACAACCTTTCCGGAATCATTTTTTTTAATTATGTTCTCGGAAACAGAAATGGATAGAAAACTCATTTGGTAAAATCGATTTATTTTTTTGTTCCCAGGATGAACCAGTTTAATTTTTGTGTTGGGAAACGGAAAAATAAATAAAAAATTTCTATTTTTTTGTTCCCGGGAACAAAATGAGAAACACTAATTTCTCTCAATCACTCTCCACCACTATCAACATCATCACACCACCATCATCCCGTCACGACTACTGCCACCATTGTTGCCGCCATCGTTGTACCACCAATGTTGTTGGCACCACCACCACGACGTTGCCATCGCCACCATCACCAACACCATGCCACCGTCATCACCAACACCATGCCACCGTCATCACCGCCACCACCACTGTCACCAACCACCACCACCATCATCGCAACCACTACTGTCACCACCGTCACCGACCACCACTATCATCGCCGCAGCCATTGCTATCACCATCGTCACAAACCACCACCACTACCATAACTGCAGCCACTGCCGTCACCATCACCACCGCCACCAACTACCACCATCATTGTTACAGCCACTGCCATCACCACCATCGCCGCAATCACTGTCGTCACTACCACTACCACCATCGCCACCACTACCACCACCATGCCGCCACCACCATCGCCGCCGCCACCACCACCACACCATATGGAAATGAAAGTGATGATTCGAAAAAAGTTTATGCTTAATAGGAATTATTTTTATTATATTATTTGTTGTGTTATCAAACGCAATTCTCATTATCAGAATAAAAATAGGACATGTTATCAAACACATTTTTTTTCCTCAAAAATTGTTCCAAGGCACAGAAATAAAAAATAATTGTTTCTTTTTAGAAACAGTGCCAGAGAACAGAATGGTTGTCATGCACATCTTAAAACATACCGTCCGTCAATCTATATCTCACCGCATTAAGTCTTGTTTAACTATCTTTTCTCAGGAAAGTTTTGATATATCTCTACCTCTTTGTGTCGAGCTCTTGCTAATAATAACTTATTCTTACTGGAGCATCCAAGGGTCATCTCATTACGTGCCCAAACCACCTCAATCTATGTTTTCTCATCTTTTTAGTCACTATTACTACTCTACCTTTCGTCGAATATCTTCATTTCTTATTCTATTCATCCTTGTACAATCACAATCCACCTTAACATCCTCATTTATGCTACTCCCATTTCTATAGAATTTTCCTTTTAGTCTAAGAGGAATTTTGCGGTAACATAAGAACCCAGATGCACTCCGCAATTTCATCTATCCTGTTTTGATTGTATGATTTATATCCTTATCAATTTCACCACCTTTTTGCAAATTTTTTAGGTACCTTTTGACCAAGTAGATGCACGAGGTCTTGATCTTCATCTCTTATCAAAGAAAACTCACCTTTCATATACTCAGTCTTGCTTTGGCTTAACGTGAATCTTTTAGACTCCAAAGTACTTCTTCACAATTCAAGTTTCCTATTAACACCATCTTTGATCTCATCAATGAGTATAATATCATATGCAAAAAATATACACCATGACGCTTCCTCTTGAATGTGTTTTCTTATTTCATGAATCCATTTGTATGATTATTTATTGAAAAATGAATTATTTTGTTGCTACTATTAAGTTAAATAATTTGAACCTAAATTTTTGTATGCTATTTTATATTAATGTTAAAGAAATATATATTTACAAAAAAGAAAAAGAAATATATCATCGGTAATGATCCACGTATTAATAGTTTAAAACTCCTAAATGAAATCATAATCCTCCTAATCAAAATTGTTTTTTAGATCATTAAGAAAGAGCTTTTAAAAAGAATTTGAGTAATTTAAAATGAGTTCATAAGTTTTTCGTTTATTTTCTTAATAACAAAGTTGAGACTTCATATGTACAGATGTAATTTTAATCTAGTTATTATTCTATTATATTTTTTGAGTAAAATAAATAATTGTTTGGTTTAGAAGTGTAATAAGAAAAAAAGAAAAAAAAAAAAAACGTGCTTCAGAATTGAGAAAAAAAGAATAGAGAAGGAAAAAATATTACAAGGATGGTCGTAATTAGGGTATTGCTTAAACCCTAGGGTTTGAGATCGAAGTGAGAACTGAGAAGGGAAGGGATGAAGATAGCGGTGGAAGGGTGTATGCATGGCGATCTGGACAATGTGTACAAAACCCTTCAACATCTTGAGAAATCCCAGAACACCAAAATCGACCTCCTCCTCTGCTGCGGCGATTTTCAGGCTGTGAGGAACGAGGATGATTTGAAGAGCTTGAACGTTCCACCGCGCTATCGCTCCATGAATTCTTTCTGGAAGTACTATTCCGGCTTGGAGGTTGCCCCTTATCCCACCATCTTCATCGGTGGCAACCACGAAGCTTCCAATTACTTGTGGGAACTGTGAGTGTACTTTTTCCCTTGTTGTATTCAGCCATTGATTCATAAAAACCGAGAGAAAATGAAGGAAAGTGAGGGAAAGGAAAAAGAAAGAAAAAGCACAGAGAAATTGTCTCTGAATAAGAGAATGTTATACAGAGCTACATATGCTTGGACAGCTGTACAACTGAATAACAGATCTGAACTAACTATCTAAGTGACTGCCAGCTAGGATAATTGAAAGCTAACTGAACTAACTGAATTACTAGAACTAACTAACTAACTAACTAACATGAGTTACTCTAGGTAACAGCAGTGGTCCCATGCTGTGTATAATCTAATATTTATTAGTGTTGGATTGTGTATTCATTGAAGGTACTACGGAGGATGGGCTGCACCTAATATCTACTTCTTAGGGGTTGCTGGGGTGGTCAAGTTTGGGAATATCCGAATCGGTGGCCTGTCTGGAATTTATAATGGTCGTCACTATAAATCAGGTTGTTTATTTGTTCCTGAATTATGGGTTCATGTTTATTTGTTTTATAAGATTGTTCCGTTATGACCGGAAAGTCATGGGTTCGTGTCTAGAAAACAACCCTTTTGCTGAAATGTAAGGGTATGGCTGCGTACAATTGACCCTTACTGAAGCATCACATAGTTAGGGAGCTTTTGCAGAGTTTGCCTTTAATTATGGGTTTACATTGTCATAAGTGAAAAGAGTTTTGTATCTGAATGGGGTATTTGTGATAAGATTACAATATGATGTTAGTTAGGTCTTTCTTTGAACAGGACACTTTGAGAGGCCTCCCTATGATCAAAGCACGATCAGGTCTGTGTATCATGTTCGTGAATATGATGTTCACAAACTCATTCAAGTCGAGGAACCCATTGATATTTTTCTTTCACATGATTGGCCGCTGAGGATCACTGATTTTGGGGATTGGCAGGAGCTTGTTCGGCGCAAACATTTTTTTAAGAAAGAGGTAAGATTTATAATAATTCTTAAGTTGGTTTGTAAATAAAGTCAGAAGCTTTTAGTAATAATTATTATATGTCTGATGCATACTGGGCATTTAAATTATTATTTGAATGATTATTTGTAGAACAGTCATATATAATCACATGTATTATCTTTGTTTTTTAATTACACTGTTTGTAGCAACATAATACCTCAGCTTCTTAGCTGTTAATTTTGCCAGATAGAGGAAAAAAGGCTTGGGAGTAAAGCTGCTGCTCAGCTTCTAGAAAAATTGAAACCACGTTATTGGTTTTCTGCTCACTTACACTGCAAGTTTGCTGCTCTTGTTCAACATGGGGAAGGAGGTCCACTGACAAAATTCCTTGCACTTGATAAATGTATTGCCGGGCGAGATTTCTTACAGGTATAGATGTGCAATCATAATGTGCAGGGCTAATCTCTTGTGATAACTATTTGAGTTAGTGACAACAATCATGGCAAGTTCTGTGCCTTTAGATCGTGGAAATAGAATCAGAGGCTGGACCTTATGAGATTCAGTATGATGAAGAGTGGTTAGCAATAACACGGAGGTTCAACTCTATCTTCCCTCTGACAACCAAAGGTGCAGATTTCAGGTGTGTATACCCATGTGGAAACCCCTTAGTTAACATTTTTTTGTTCTGCCTTTTTCTTTCCCCTGCCAAAAAAAAAAAATGAACAGCCAAATAATGCTGTATGCACTTGCTGACAGAGGTGCAAATCTTGAGATGGAAGATTGTCGTGAATGGGTTAGAAGCAGGCTACAAGAGAGGGGATGTAAACCTTTTGAATTCGTTAGAACCGCTCCATGTTATGAACCTTCTCAGTCCAATTTTGGCGGTGCTTCTGCCGGTATTTCTTTGTTTCCCATTGCAAAGTCTAAATTGTATACCACTAATTAAGACTTGTTCAGCTTGTTCTCTGGTTAAAGATATTTGTGATCATGATCATTTAAGTGTTTGGGCTAATTTGCAGCTGTCTAATCCATGCGGATTTTATGTGATGCTCCCATGCATGCACATCTTAGACACATGTTATGATTAGGCACTCTAGACCATTGTGTCTTTCCATCTCGTTTCTTGTGTGCGTATGTGGACTGAAAAGTTTGTTATTTGAATTTTGTGGTACATTGATGGTACCTATTGCTAACTCACACAGACAAATCACAATCAACATCAACATCAACAACACTTTTATCTCAAACTAATTGGGGTCGGTGGTAGATGAACCCAAATGAAAGATACGAAGAGATTGAAAAAAGATAAAAATGAAATTTAAGTGCATATATATATATATATATATATATATATATAAAGAGGTAAACAATTAAAAGAAAAAGTATATTAAGGTAAACTAAAGATAGAGATATATAGGATGGCAAAAAAAGAGTAAGAAAGTAAGACAAAAAATAAAAATTGTTGAATATCATAGATACAAGAGGAAATGATAGTAGTCCTTGTTGTATTAAACTACACAACATTGGTGCTATTATATAGCAAACCAATTGAAGAATACAAAGAGACACACTCAATGTGGGACTTCTACACTATTAACACTAACACTCTTAACACTCCCCCTCAAGCTGTAGCATATAGATCATATGCTACAAGCTTGATACATAAATAATACTCCCATTAGGAACCAAAAACAACAATGCTACATCAACGAAATGAAATGACTAAGTACAACAAATCAACTGGAATGACCATCAGTCCGAAGAGCTGATAAAGAGACAGTGCTGGAATGGACATCAGAGCATGGATGGTGCCGGAATTATCATCGACAAAGACAACTGAGCTAACCAGGACATCAACATCAAGATCCCTCTCAGACATTTCATTTAACAGTTGGTGAGCAGCCGTGGTTTCCCCTTGACTATGCTACAAGCTTATTACAAGAAAGACCAAGTAACATAACATCAAAATAAATCTCCTAAATGAGAAACCAAAAATCAACAATGTGCTAAAAATGGCGTCGAAATGAACATCAACATGGAAGATGCCGGAATGATCATCGGCAAAGACAATTGTGCTGGAATGACCATCAGCAACATGGACGGTGCTCCCCCTCAAGAGGAACTTCTAAACAGTGCCGGAATGATCATCGGCAAAGACAATTGTGGTATATTAAGGTAAACTAAAGATAGAGATATATAGGATGGCAAAAAAAGAGTAAGAAAGTAAGACAAAAAATAAAAATAAAAAATAAAAAAATAAAAACAAAAAATCAAATAAAAAATAAAATAAATGTAAAAATAAAAGGGTGTGGAAAAAATAAATAAGTAAAAAAAAAAGACAGGGAAGGGGAAAAGAGATAAAGGAAAAGAAGGAAGGGGGGAGATGAAGAGGAAAAGAACTAAAAATGGACAATCTGGAACATAGGAATAACAACAAGTCTAACCCTCCACCATTTTTATAGCTTTTCTCCATTTCGTCTTAAGATGCACTGTCCGCCAATCTAAAACTCACTCCATCAAGTCTTGTTTTACTACCTTTCTCCAAGTAAGTTTCGGTCTACCTCTATCTCTGTTTTGTGTCGAGCTTTTGGTAACAAACTTTTGTTCTTTCAGGAGCATCCAAGGACCTTCTCATTACGTGCCCAAATTACAAATTAGCAAATTAGCAAGAGCTAACAGTAACAAACTACCCACACGATTCCCTGCCAATGAGACACCACGTCTCAGAAGCCACCATACCACAAATTACAGAATTCCCTACCCAACCTTGCTTCCCATTCCCTCTTTATTCCCCACTACTCCCAAATTACCCTCTTCATTCACAGTTTGCCACGTTGCGTTCTCCTTAACTAACTCTTCGTCCAACTCCGCATTCTCTTATGAGTGATCATTGCTTCCTTGGGCCTTGGCCTTGCTTCTCCTCTGATATACCTCTCCATAAGGTTCTATAGGCCCATCATACATTCATAAAGGAAGTACACCCTAATTCAAACTATAAAGATTCCTTTCAATTGAATGTCAAATTGTGAATCACATCTTAAATTAGTCGTGATTAACAATTGCTTCTTCCAAGGGAATGTCAACTTGTGAATTAACTCTTCTGCTGTATCCTTTTAACCTCTTATATTCACACCTTTTACTAATTTATTTTTCTGAATTTTTTTTAATTGTATAGTTTTAGCTTGTAGAAAAGAAAAATAGTCCGAGTTCTCTTCTAATGATGTTTGCCATAGTTTCATTGTGCCATACTGCCATGACTTATATGGTTTAAAATGTAACTGCAGAAGTGTTAATTTAATTTTTTTTATACCTTTTATTTTTTGCAGTGAATACTCGGAATCCTCAGACAGAATCTCTTTTGCAGCTTCTAGAACTTCCATATCTTCTTGATAGCAATCCTGAAGCAAAGGACTTGTCACCTTATCCTTCTCCTTCAATTCAAAGAGGTAAAGTTTACCCTTTTTAGTTTTTAATGGTCATAGATGGGAAGCCAATCCATTTTTGCATAAAATGAAAGAGATAGAGGAGAAATCTGGAGAAATAATACCTGGGGAACATAATTCAAAATCATTTTGGCACACGAGTGAATATTTTAGTCAACATTGTTAATTTCTTGTTTCTTTAAATCTCTTTCTTTCTTAGCTGGATATTTTTTGTGTGTTTGAGTTGAGCTCTCTCTTCTAGATGTCATGGATTTTATGAAATTATGACATCATCTTAAGAGAGAAATATGCCAAGCCTATAGCGAATTTGTGAGAGGAAACCAAACATCTAATTTTGTTGTAAATAAATTGGTGGCCTGATTATTGTAGGATCCTTGTGGAGAAGAGCCTCATAGGCTGGCAGCACTACAGACTACAATTACAGTCCTTGATCTACTAATTTAGCTAATCTTACTACACTCTTTCCCAGCTTGTACTTTTTTTAATTATAATTAATTATAACAAAACATAAATGAAAGATACATGTAGAATTAGAATCTATAGTTACGGGTTGAACCCCCCAAGTTAATAGGTCTCTCTTAGCTTAATAGTGTCCTTAACTGCTTGGTTTTGTTATGGGTTGTGATACCAAGGGGAAACCTTGTGGTGTTGCTTGACTACCAGTGTGGCATTTTTTTCCCTTGCCGATGTAAAGATGACTTTTTAGCATGTCTTTCCTTTGGCTTCATTGCCTTCTGCAACATAAATTGATAAGTTATCTCGCTAATTTTCCTAAACTGTGCCCTTTGAGAGATTTATTAAATTTGTGCTGCTAATTTTGAGTTGCTTTTACAACCGTATACAGCATTTAATACGAAAATTTTTAAGGGGGGGTCACTTCGAACTTGGTTGAGTTGGTGTGCTGTTGTAATTGCGAAAATTGCGTTGATAGCATTACTGATATTGTAATTATAGTTTTTATCTTCTTCCTTTTGAGGTAATCACCTACAGTATTTTGTATACATTTCTAGGCCTCGTTGGTTATGATAATGAGGACATTCCCATTGATGATGTGGATGATGATGATGAAGAAGAGCTCCCAAAAGTTGACGACGTGGAAACTGAGACTTTGAATTTGTGAATCCTCATTGCAATTAGCATACTGAAACTCGAATGATCTCATGCCGAATGCTTACACACAATATTGACACATAATGCGTATTCACTAGATTGTTGATTTTCCACCCTCTAATATTTAGTTAAGTTGTATGTATAATAACTAATGTTTTTTTTTTTAAATATAAAAGCTCTCTGGATTTTTTGACCTTTTGTCGGACCTAAGAAGAAGAAACTCTTCGAATAGGTGTTGGAGCGGCCAATCAAATGACAGATTTCTTTTTTGGAGTTACCCAACCCTAATTATCTCTTTGAGACGAGTTGGCTCCCTCCGGTATCCCCACGAGCTTCGACTCTTTGAGCCGGCTATGAGACTAATCCGGAGTGCGGAGGAACAGTGATGACTAAAGGTTCAGCCCCCTCCCCAAGAATGCATTCAGCGGGAATCGAACACATATCAAATGACAGATTTCTTGTCGCAAGCTCAGGCCACCAAAAATTAAAATAAGTGATGACCCATGATTTGCCACAATGCCACTTGCCTTATTACTGTTAAGCCCAACTGGATCTATAATTCCTGACAGCTGCTGTTCTCAACAGTCAACAGTCAACATACAACACCGTCATGAGTTGCAAATCTGTTTGATTTCTATGGATTTGCTGCTCTTTGTTGAATTAGTTCTGTGGTGCCGTTCTTCTTCCTTTGTCTATTTGATGTTCAGAGGTCAGAAGCCAGACTTATTTTGCTTTTGTATTTAAAAGCTTCGGAGGTAAGGAACTGAAAATGGGCATTGAGTGAAAATGTGAAAATATGTGGCGAGAGTTGAAGTCCCTTTGAGAATGTGTGCACAAGAAGTGGAATGGACAAAAATTTTAGAATTTTTTTTAAGTGAAAAATATTTCTGTTTTTGTACTGAATTTTTTTTGTCATACCCATAAAAGTGGATTTTATAGTGAGAAGAGAGAAAATATTTGTGTGATTTACTCACTTTTATGTGAGTATAGTAGAAATTTTTTTTTGTATAAAAATAGAAATGTTATTGCTTTTTTTTTAATAGAAATAAAATTTGAAGAAAAAAATTTATGGATGAAGTAAGAAAGATGGGAAGTGGAGAGAAAATGTTACACCGTAGAAAATATTTGTGTGGTTTACTCATTTTTTTTTTAAAGTTAAAATTTAAAACACAATAAAAATAATTTAGACATGTTCTCTAAGTTTCATTTTAAAAAAAAAAATAGTTACAATTTTTAAAATTGTTTTTACAAAATAAATCTTATCAAACGGGTAATTTTATTTTTTTGTTCCCAAAACCAAAAAATTGTTTTAAAAAATATTATTCAAACAGGGCCATCATTTTCATCATGTGTTGTCTTAATAAAAATAATAAATAATTGTATTCAAAAAGAAAAATAAATAAATAGTAAAATTAGTAAAATAAAGTGGCTTGGGTTTCACATTTATTTAATTATAGCGGTTTAGTGTATTTTTTTCGGGGGAATGGAATATCTCATGTTAAAATTCTTATGTTTCTTATGAGAATGTACTAAAAAATAAAATAAAATTTCACACGAGGATTATGTGAAATTTTGTATTTATTTCTCACTTCATTAAATTATAATTGAACTCTACCTATTTAATGTAAGTAAAAAGAGAGATAAACATAAAAATTGCATCAGTCATGCAAATTTGGTTTAAAGATTTTACTTTTGTTGCTGTGTTATTTGTCTCCATAAGGAGCCACATCAATTTATTTAGGTTTCATTAAACTTTTAAATTAAATTTTGTGTTTGTCTCCGTAAGATTTTACTTTTCTTGCTTGTATTTTTCCCTGGCCAAGTAGTTGGTTAAATTAATTTTCTTTAGAAGGGTTCATTGACCTGTTGTGTTACTTTTTTATTTTATTCATTTTAATTCTGCTCTATCTTGTAATCTGACAAAGTGTTTAATCAAATATGGAGACCCTTATAGTTGACTCTGGGTAATGAAAGCACAGAAGCAGCTCTATATAGTATTTCACTTATTCAGGCAACTTTAACAGTAAGGCTTGGCTGAAGTAATTGTTTCTATCTATTCCTAAAGTATACTATTGAAAAATTACCAGTAAGGATCTTTAAATGCATGATGAGAGAAGCATCCAGTAATAGCCAATGGGGGGCATGAGGGAAATTGCATAACCAAACCCTTCTTCTACCTACTCACTGACTTTACCCAAAAACATAAATGTAGTTTTAAATAGGCACTATTTCCTGGCCACCTTTGTTGTATCTCTTTTATGACATGTACCATTATCAAGTGAAAGACTCTGTGCACACTGCAAAACACTGCACTTGAACCCCAAAACACTAAAAAGCTTGGTTCTATGGAGACAACAAAAGTAAATCTTTCCATAGCAGTTTCTTCTCTTTTCATCTTTTCTTTTGCTGTTTCTGTTACAGCTAGCCTCTCTTTCGACTTCTATGCAGCTTCATGCCCTTCAGCTGAGTTTATCATAAGAAACACAGTTAGTTCATCCACTTCTAATGATCCTTCCATTCCTGGAAAGCTCCTTCGCTTGGTTTTCCATGATTGCTTCGTGGAGGTTAGTGTTAGATTGCTAGTCCTTGACCATATAAACAACATACTGTGTTAGAGACCATATTGCTTCAGGAAATGTGCTTTTCTTCTTGTTGAAAAAAATTGTACTAAATTCAGTTACCAACATATTTACCCTGAACCCTTTTTTGGATTGAATTTGGAGATAAACCTTTTTTTATTCTTCCTTTGGATTTTCTTTTTAATTTGTGTTATGACCTTTCCTAAGGGACTCATCTAGTTGTTCCTGGTTAGAGGCTCCTAATTAAACATTCAAACAGATATAAAAATAATTACATGGTGGAAAATTCAAATGGGCATGAAGTTGAGATGACCTCAGAGGTTGCATGCAATTGTGATGGAGTCAACATTGTGCACTCTACTCATTTTTTCAATTTCAGTATGGCTTGCAGTGAATTTCCTTGATGTAACGGATCATTTAATATGCAGGGATGTGATGCATCTTTGATGCTACAAGGGAATAATACAGAGAAAAATGATCCAGGAAATAGGTCTGTTGGAGGATTTTCAGTTATAGAATCAGCAAAAAGAGTCCTTGAGATCTTTTGCCCTGGAACCGTTTCTTGTGCAGACATAATTGCTCTAGCTGCTAGAGATGCTGTTGAAGTTGTAAGTTCTCCTTCATTGCATTTCTGATATTCTTGAATAGGTACATTGACATCTCTTTTGATATGGTTATTAACTGAAGGGCATTTGAGAAACAGGCTGGTGGACCAATGATTGAGATTCCTACTGGTAGGAGAGATGGGATGGTTTCAGCTGCTTCAAATGTCAGACCCAACATTGTGGACACCAGTTTTACAATGGATGAGATGGTTAAGCTCTTTTCCAATAAAGGATTATCCTTACTTGATCTTGTGGTCCTTTCAGGTAAAATGTTCTCTGTGTCCAAAACACAAATAGTTGCAACTTTCCTAGAGAATGATCTTAATCATTGGTTTGCTTCTTTTAAACAATAATCTTTTCTTTGATTTACATTTTAATGCTTTGTTTTCAAGTAAAATCACACATAAAGAAAGACATTCTGATCGGTACAATGAAATGAACTATAGATGTTTTGTAGATGAGAACCTTCTCATCAAATTTATTAGAATTACTACTTTGCAGCTGGCCTGCAATGTTCTAAAAACTGAACAGAAGATTGAACTAGGAAGAGTTTTGGATCATGTTTTTAATGTTTCAACCTGGACAACATATTATGAAATGGTTAGATTGGAAAGGAAATGTTTGTGTAATAGAAATGGGTCTATAGTTTACCGAAAAAAAGAAAAGAAAAAGAAATGGGTCTATATCCTTCTAGGAGTGAAGTATGTCTATGTAGTAGCGACCTTGTGAGGCAAAGGTATGAATCTAAGCTCTATGAGAGAATCATCGTAAATGGGTCTCAGATAAAGGCTAAGAATCCGGAGGAAGTGTTGGGATGGTGGCTCTAGAGGCCGTGTTTCAGCCAATGTTATTAACATCGGTCTGATCAATGACCCAGTCAACGTACTTCGTCACTGGTTGAATCGCATGACCGACTGATTATAAATAAATCTATAATTTATTTTAAAAAATTATGAATATACTCAAATAGCTGAAAAAAATAATATAAATACTAAAATTTTAATATAAAAAATAATAAATTATACATTATTGTCCAATAAAGGATCAAATAAACACATAATGCTTGTTATATTAGTGTTTCAGGTTCGGTAAACGACATCTCTAACTATCAAATCAAAATTCCCTGCATAGTGCATAATTGAAATAATATTAAGATTGTAGGTACATAACTTATGTAAGTCAATAAGTAACAAATCACTCAAATATGTCAATTATGATTTTTTTTTTGGAAAACTTTTTTTTTTTGAAATTTTTTTTTTTTAAAAACCTGGGCCGGGTCATCGGTTTTTTATCAAGATCTGCCGGGTAGCACCGGGTCGTACCAGGTCTAATATTTGACCGATCCAATGTGATAACCTGACCGGTTCACTGGGTTTCGGGTCGACCGGTCCGGTCCGGTTTTCGCAACAATGGTTTTAGCAAAGTAACAACAATGTGATTAGGTGTGTAATAGGTGCGTCTTCAATGATAGAAGAGAGGTATATATAGGTGGAGATTCTCCAATAATGACTGAAACAGGGAGCCGTAACCGTTTTTGCCCTTTTGAGTCCCACTAGATTTGAGACAAGCATTCTCTACTAGTGCATGAGGTGCGTGTGTATAGGGAATAAGATTTCATATGATGAGACAACATTTGTCTTACTTTAGGGATGCAAGAATTGATTTCTTATATGGGCCTTAGTGGTTGATCCAATAGACTGGCCAGTTCTAAATAGGAAACATGATCAATTCACGATCTAATCAGTCTGTTCGGTCCAGCTTTTATAACATTGTTGGCTTGTTTCTCATTCTAGATTTTGGATATTCAAACCTAAGGTATTTGGCATAAATATCTCAAAATGTAGTTAATTGTTAACCATTGCATAGGTTAATCTTTCTCCCTAGTTGCTTTCATATCATACTAGAAAAAACGTACTTGTTTAGTGATAGTTAAACTTAGCAGGAGCTCATACCATAGGAACCGCTCATTGCAACTCATTCAGGGATCGTTTTCAAGAAGACTCGAAGGGAAAGCTTAGGCTCATTGACAAAACCCTTGACAGTAGCTATGCTAATGAGCTTATGAAACAGTGTCCAATAGGTGCAATGCCATCTGTAACGGTGAACAATGATCCTGAAACATCTATGGTCTTCGACAATCAGTATTATCGAAATCTTCTAGACCACAAAGGGCTATTCCAGTCAGATTCTGTTTTGTTAAACAATGATGACACAAGGAAATTAGTGGAGGATTTTGCAAACGATCAACAACTTTTCTTTGAAAATTGGGGCATGTCGTTCTTGAAGCTCACCAGTGTTGGAGTAAAAACAGGTGATGAGGGTGAAATTAGACGTTCTTGTGCTGCAACTAATGCATAAGAAGAATTGTGGTGCAGTTACCAAGGTTCTCTAAACAACTTCCCTAGATTATTTTATGTCTTGTTCTCTACATCTTTCTCAATTCTTTGTTGTCCTCTGATTTGTTTTAATTTCTTTTGAAGTGGTCTAGCTTGACTAATATTGACAACTTATGACATATAATAATGGGAACTATAATATTGTATCTATAGTTTCTTAACTTTCTATTTTAAAATATTTCCAAAAAAAAAAAAACTTTCTATTTTAAAGAGGATTTCAGACATTTGAAGCTCATTGAACTTCAATGATTGTGTGGTGTATTATGGAGTGCTTGTTGCGAAGGTGGAAGCGAGGCGCTCAACTTTGATGCTTTAGTTCAACAAATTACCAACATATTATTAATTTTAGAACTGTGTTATATTTACAAACATTTTGTTTACAATCTGAATTCTGGAGTACACAATGTAGTTTGTAAACAAAATGTTTGTAAATATAACTTACCCCTTAATTTCATTAAACATCTTTTGTTTAAAGTAAGATATTTTATGCCGGTGTAAGATATTTTCTTAATCTAACATTTGTCAATGCAATTTAGGATTATTTTGTATCTAATTGCTCATCTAATTAATAAATTAGAATAGTTAGATATAAGTAAATAAATAATTAAAATTACGTATAAGATTTATTATTATTATTTTACCGGATAAATTGATCCTTTCCTTATTACAAAAAAATAAATAAAAATAAAATTGATCTTTCCCATTTTATATATATTAATGTATTAATAATGTATAAATAATTCACTGATTTATTGCACTTAAGTTAAAATACTCTAGAATACAAGAATATATCTGTCGTTGGTTTTCAAAAACTCACCATCAGGATTCAAGAGGCTTATTTGCAGGAACAAACACTTTGGTAAACCGAGCGAGTTCATAGGAATATATGAGAAGAGAAGATATAGATAATGGATTCATCAGCATTGGTATTCCGGAAAAAGCCATGTACTCCTAAAATCTATTTTCTTTTTGGATAAAATAGATGAAGAAACAAGAGGCTGAGGCTAGGTGTGTTTAAATAGAAGATTTCAATTGAGGAAATTTATTATTTTTACGGGGATTTAAAATCCTTTATCAATTTATATCATAGCCCTTACTTATAACCTTGATCGATGTCTCGTCAAGGTGAACAAACCTTGATTTTATTTTTGTATCTACACAGAAGTTAAAAAGCACAAGCAACTTATATTCTCAAAACCTATCAAAAATGGCGGAGGCAGAAACTTTTTTTAGCACATATTAAACATTAATTCCAAAAAAAAAAACATTAATTCCTAAAAACAATTAGCCAATGTCAAGGCTAGTACTGAGGAAGCTATTATTTTCATAATTCGATGTGTTATGGACTCATATAATGGGCTCATTAAGTGGTAAGCTCAACCAGAGGCAATCTAAGATACAGATTGATATTAACAAAGGATAGATATCCATCAAGGATACTAATCCTAATACGACAGCATAACAAACAGGCCTAGACCCTCATCAGAGGTACCAAAGGCTTATCCACACTACCCACAGGTAACCTCTATAAATACAAGGTAAACGCTAAAGGTACACTACGCTCTCTCTCTCTCTCTCTCTCTCTCTCTCTTTCTTATTGTTATGCTGTCACTGTGCGCGCACACACCTCATTGGCTAACGCCGTTATAGTATTCTGTGCACAGTGATCTGCTTGACTCAAGATACCTTGGAGAGGGCGCTAAATCCAAGATCGACATACCAGCCTACTGGGCTGGACATCTCTGTCTTAAGGACAGAACATTGGCGCAGATTGTGGAGAACTTCGTCTTGGAGTTTGAAGTTCCCATCAATCTGACAAAGGATGGCAATCCAGACAAGGAGCAGTAGCCAACAACTACCCCAAAACCAGAACCAACCGCTGGATCCAGTCCTGGAGGAGGTAAATCAGCCTCAGAACCAGATCGGAAACAACGTGGATTATGACCATGTCTAGGTCGAGGACGACATCTCAGACACCGCGTCTACTCCAGCGCGTCGAGATAGGGGGCAGAGGCAAACATGGCTCCAATAAGAAACAATCCTTCCCAGCATCCAGGGGATCTTGCTGCGCGTATTGCTCAATCGGCCGATCCGGATACTCGGTTGGCTAATAATGCATTCGCTGCGATCATGGAACGAATCGCAGAATTGGAAACTCGCAATAACCTGCAACGATAGCAGGATTTTCGGGCAATACGGGAGGAAAATAACAGGAGAATGCGAGACCTGGAGCAACGCTTAACACAGCTGACTGGACCAGGAGCAACAGAAGTTGGAGGCCAACCTGCCAATGGCCGAGAAGGAGCTCGGAACCTAGTTCTACTGAACCGGATTCCCCATGTAGAAAGTCATGAAAGGCCCAACCTTGTGAACGCAGCAAACCCGAACCAGGGAAACCAGGCAACTGATGGCCATAATGCTCAAAACCATCAGGCACAAGCTAACGGCCAGGAGGACCGGGTTAGGACTCATCCTGACCAGAATGCTCAAAACATCCGAGGACGAGTGGAAGCCGGCGGATACAAAAGGAAATACAGCAGGGGGCAGTATAACAACATCCCATTTACTGGGGAGATTTGAACACACATTTCCCTGAGGACTTCGATTCGGCACGACTGCCGAAGTATGATGGGAGTCAGGACCCACAGGTCCACATTGACGCTTTCGATACAGACATATATATCCGAGGCATAGACGAGCCTCTCATATCTCGAATATTTTCCATAACCCTGACTGGGGCTGCGTATGCATAGTTCTCCACCTTACCTGCCAACTCTATTGGGTCTTTTGAGGAATTCGAAGGAAAGTTCCTCTTAAACTTTGCGATAAGAAAAAAACATCCGAAGTCCGAGTTTTCACTTGGGAAGATACGCCAATAACCCGGAGAAACCCTCCAAGGATATCTCAATCGATTCAAGGATGTCGCGTTGCAGGTACCGGGATTGCAAGAAAACGTCCACGTGCATCTCATTGTGTCCGGCTTGGACGGTGCATCCAGGTTGGCCAAGTCAGTCTATAAAGACCCAGTGAAGACATTGGAGGAGTTCAGAACCCGTTCGAAGAAATACCTCGAACTCGAGCAGATGGAGATTGCAAATGCACAACCCGAAGAGGGTAAGAGAAATAGCCCGCGAAGGAGAAGTCCGGTCTTGAAGGGAAAAGAACGAGTTGACAATAAGAAGAAAGATCCTAGGGCTAGAATCTTAGATACTAGAGATCGAGTTGGAAGGTTCAACAGGTACACGCCATTGAATGCATCACGCTCTCAAATCTGGAAAGAGGTGGCAATGATGGAAATGAAGAAGGTGGAACGACCCCGTCCCATATTCGATAGAGGAGGTTTGGACAAATCGAAATACTGTGCATTCCATGACGGACCAGGACATACTACTAATCAATGCTGGGACCTCCGAGATGCGGTGGAGAAATTTGTTCGAGATGGAAGGTTACGTCAATACGTGATAAAAACCCAAGGTTCCAGAAACAACAAAAAGAAGTTGGGAAACAGAAATTGGAGCAAAAGCCCCGTTCCTGAAAAGAAAAACAAACAGGAAAGGAATCAGAAAAATGATCCCAATTATGATGAATTCTCAGAAGTGGAATTTGATTGTAATGTAATTAGTGGAGCCCTGGGGGGGGGGGGAGGAGGAGATACTGTAAGTGCTAGAAGAAAATACCTGAAAGAGGTACTCTCCATTCGAGATCATCCCAAGTTCAAAGAAGACCCAACCAAGCCAGACCCTCATCTTTTGTACTTTACCAAAGAGGACATGTGCGGCGTGTTACTGGGTCATGTTGATGGACTGGTCATTGCTGGGACCCTAGCGAATTGCCGGGTTCGGAAGATTTTCGTGGATGTAGGGAGTTATGCCGACATCATACTCTGGGACACTTTAAAAAAGATGAACCTGGATGAGGAGGACTTCAAACCTTTCAAAATGACGCTGATAGCCTTTAATGGAGAGCATACATCTCCTAAAGGCTACATTGATCTCATATTAACCTTGGGAACAAAGGCAGCGTTCAGATCAGAACGAGTTAGGTTCATAGTGGCCGATTTCCCTTCAGAATATAATATAATCCTAGGAAGACCGACCATACATCAATGGGACATGCTGGTTTCTACAAAACACCAGAAGATAAAAATGGTGAGCAATAAGAATGAAATAATCACTGTTTGTGGAGATCAGAAGGAATCTAGGGGCTGTTACTTTGATACCGTCAAAGAAAATGAAGGGGGACGTTCGAGCCCACCTCGAATTCACCCAGGGGATAAAACCGGTAAGAATGTAACTCCTCAACACTCAAGGAAGCCGGTCAACATGGTTGAACTCGACATCAGAGAAGAAATAATGCTGAGACCCGAACCTGATGGAGAGCTAGAAGATCTCACACTGGGGAAAGAGCCTGGTCAATTTACCTGAATTGGTAAGACCGTTGATCCTCAAATTAAACAAGTATTGGCTGACTTCCTCAAAAGCAACACAGATGTGTTTGCTTGGAATTCGTCTGAGATCCCAGGCATCGACCCCGCTTTCTGCTGCCATAAGCTGGCAGTTTATCCGGGATCCACGCCCGTTTCCTAGAAGAAAAGAAAGCTGGAGCCAAAAAGGAAGCAAGTTCTGCAAGAACACGTCAAGGAGCTTTTGGATGCCGGGTTAATTCGGGAGATACAGTACACGACATGGCTTGCAAATATGGTGATGGTGAAAAAACCGAATGGGAAATGGAGAATCTGTACTGATTACACAGACTTAAATAATCAGATGCCTATTCGGGATACAATCAGATCCCAATGTACCCGACGGATCAAGAAAAGACCGCCTTTATTGCTGAAAAGGCCAATTATTGCTACAATGTGATGCCATTTGGGCTTAAAAATTCAGGGGCAACCTATCAGAGGATGATGAATAAAGCCTTTGAAAGCTGGGCAAGAATATAGAAGTATACATTGACGATATGATTGTAAAGTCGTTTGATTTGACGAAGCATGTCCAGGATCTCGAGCAGACATTTCAAAAGCTCAAGAAGTACCGCATCCGTCTCAACCCAGTAAAATGTGCGTTTGGGGTACCAGCTGGGAAATTTTTGGGTTTCATGCTAACCCATAGAGGAATTGAAGCGAACCCTAAAAAATGCAAGGCAGTACTTGATATGAAAGTACCGCAAAACAAAAAGAAAATTCAGCCATTAACCGGTCGATTAGCTGCCCTAACCCGATTTCTGCCGAAGTCTGCTGAAAATGCCCTTCCATTCTTTAAACTATTAAAGAAGGAGGCAATTGAAGGATGGAACCTGGCGTGCCAAGCTGCGTTCGAGAAAGTCAAGAAATGCTTAGCAACTCCGCCAGTGCTCTCAAAGCCAAATCTAAGAGACATTCTAATCCTGTATCTGGCAGTGGGGGAGGAAACAATAAGTGTTGTGCTGATCAAAGAGACTAGCGAAGGCCAAGAACCGATTTACTTCATCAGTAGAGCCTTACAAGGTGCGGAGGTCAGGTATCAAAAACTAGAAAAAGTGGCTTTCGCGTTGCTGATCGCGGCCAGAAGATTGCAGCCATATTTTCAAGGACACCAAATAATAGTTAGGACTAATCAGCCCATACGGTAGGTCTTGCACAAGCCGGACTTGGCAGGAAGAATGGCCAATTGGGCGATTGAACTTAGTGAGTATAACATAGCATATGAAAGTCGGAAGGCCATCAAGTCACAAGCTTTGGCCGAATTTGTAATGGAGCTGACGCCATTAAACCCGGAACATGAGGAGTCCGGGGGTGCATGGAAGGTCTACGTGGATGGATCCTCCAACAATAAAGGAAGTGGAGCTGGGATCATACTAGAAAACCCAGAAGGAGTAACAATTGAACACTCCTTGAACTTGGGATTCCCAACTTCAAATAATCAAGCTGAATATGAAGCTCTGATAGCCGGGTTGATGCAGGCTAAAGAGCATAGAGCTAGAAAAGTTCAAATCTTCAGTGACTCACAGCTGGTAACTTCGCAGATAGAGGGAAAGTACCAGGCTAAAGGTCCTTTGCTAATGAAATACCTGAGTAAAGTTCAGGAAATGATGGCCGATTTTAATGAGGTGCAGGTCACTCACATCCCTCGAGGGGAGAATAGTCGAGCTGACATCTTGTCAAGTTGGCAAGCACCAAAAGTCCAGGTAACCACAGAACTGTGGTCCAACAAAACATAACAATGCCGAGTTGTATGATGCTAATAACCTCGGCACAAGCCTGGAGGAAACCCATAATAGATTACCTGGAAAAAGGAATGTTACCAGAAGAACGTTTGGAATCTAGAAAGCTGGTCCGAGATGCGACACATTATACGATTGTGCAAGGTCAGCTATTTAGAAAGGGTTTGCACGTACCCATGCAGAAATGCTTGAACTCGGAAGAGGCAAAATATGTTCTGGCCGAGATACATAAAGGAATCAATGGTCAACACATGGGAGGCAAAGCTTTGGATAAAAAGGCTCTTCGAGCCGGTTACTACTGGCCGACTATGCAAGCAGACTCTAAAGAACATGTTAAGAGATGAGACAGCTGCCAGAAGCATGCCAAGCTAGTTCTTTCCCCACCTGAAGAGCTGAAATATGTCTCGGCACCATGGCCCTTCTTTAAATAGGGAATGGACCTGCTAGGACCTTTCAAAACAGCTGAAGGACAATTAAAATGGTTGATCATAGCAGTAGATTACTTTACGAAGTGGATAGAAGCGGAGCCAGTGATGACAATTACTTCGGCTAGAGTGCAAAGGTTCTTCGAACGGAACATAATATCCAGATTCGGAATACCAGGTGAAGTGATCACTGATAATGGAACACAATTTGCTGACAAAAGATTCCAACAATTGATGAAAGACTTGCAAGTCAGACATCGTTTTGCATCTGTAGAACACCCACAGTCAAATGGACAAGTCGAAGCAGCAAACAAGGTAATTGTGGAAGGCCTTAAAAAATGCATGTTTAATGCAGGAAAAAGATGGGTTCCGCAACTCTACTATGTCCTCTGGGGATACAGAACAACTACCCAAACTGCAACAGGGGAAACCCCTTTTCGACTAACGTATGGCTGCGAAGCTATGATACCAGTAGAAATCGGAGAACCTTCTTGGAGGAAGATAAATAGCAGCGAGCACGGCGAGCAGCAAAACAATAATTTACTCACTGCCGAATTAGACCTTGCTGACAAAGTTCGGGTTGCAGCCCATTGCCGGGATGTGACAGCCAAGCGACACATGGCAGTCCGGTACAACAAAAAAGTGAGGCCAAGAATCTTTGAAAAGAATGATCTGGTACTCAGATAAGCGGATGTCGGAAATAAAAACGCCAAAGATGAAAAGCTAGCTGCAAATTGGGAAGGACCTTACCAAGTTAGAGAAAAACCTCAGAAAATGAGCTTATATCTTGGAGACAGCCGAAGGCAAAGAAGTAAAGCGGACCTGGAATGCAGATAAGCTGAAGACATACTACAGCTAAATCTGCACTCCACCGCTTCAATATTTAAAATATGCAATTTGATTTAAGTTCTTTCCTCTATTAGGGATTTGACTAAAGCCGAATATGCCGGCAAATTCATGTGGACAACAATTTGATTTCAATAAATGAGGAATGTTTCTTTTCTTTTAAAGATTTGTCTTTATCTTATTTTGATGCATCAATTCGACATCCAAGGTACAAGCGCAATGTGTCATAACGACTCTGATCAAGTCAAAATGCTCCTTATTTCGGTTTATGAGCCAAAAGGGACATATGACTGCATTGTCTTTACCTTAGATAAAAGTGAATTAAAAATTCAGACTATACAGACTTATCAAAATAGTTAAGTCCCAATAAACATACGTCATCGAGAATGACATAAAGCGGAATCCGTACAATGCTTTGACCTCGGCCAGGTCATGAGTAAAGAACTCGTATGATGCACGAGTTTAGTAAACTATTTTGAGTTGATAGCTTACGCTAATAAGCGGCTATCAACTTGGATAAGACTTCTTACATAACTTGGAAAAAACTGAGTTTTGAAAGGAAAGTTATCCCGAGTTATGATCCGAGTAGTATACTGAGGGGAAACTCTGATAAGGGTTAATGTATACGCAAAAAAGACTAAGTTGTACGCTTTAATAATGCAAACACGAAGCTAGCCTTTTAACAAAGCAAATGCAACTCAGCAGCGACATACCGGTTTATGCAAATTCGAATACCTAGATAAATGCATCTATGGTCAAAACACAATATGCGACGAAAAAAGCAATGCTTGAAGAGTAAAATTCAAACCGGAGTAAAACTGGCAATATTCAGGATAAATCAAAAAGGGGCCCAAAGGCCCCAACAAAATACATCTCCAACCGGCATTCCGGCCCTTCATTTTGTCTTGCTGGCAGGAGGATCTTCCAGTACCATAACCTCCTTGCCAGATTGATTGGCCGACTCAACTACCTTTTTAGGTTGGTTAGTTGCCTCGTCACCATCCTCAACGGTAGCAACTTTTTCGAATTGTGAAGCCGAAACACGGGAAGGAGATGCGGCAGCTGGAGAAATGATTCGACCATCAACAACATATGCACGAGGGCTTAAGCCAACCACATTCAAAAGAAAATCTGGGTTCAGAACTTGCAGTTGGCTTAATGCATTGTAGAAGGAACCAGTGATGGACTTTTCAAGTTCACCTCGGTAGAGTTGAGTTTCGTCCCGAGCCTCCCTCAACTGGGCCTTGGTTTCCTTCAACTTGCCCTGCACTGCCTTCATATCCCCCTCCGCATTCTCATACGTGATTTTGAAATCACTCAAACTCTTACTGTTGCAGGCATGGATATACTGGAGCTTATCATGATCACGTTGAAGTTGGGTCAAGGATTCCTGTGCTTTGCCCAAGTCAGACGAACTTTGGGTATATTTTTCCTTCAGCGATGACAAATCTTCTTTCACCTTAATCAACTCGGCAACAGTCTTTGCTTTTTCCTCCTGAGAGGCAGCAACCTCATCAAGGGAACGAAGATACTTACGCTTCAACGAACACAATTATCTCATTAACCCAGACATCTTCAGGTCACCGAGCTCTAGATCATCCAGCACCTTAATTTCCTCAGATGTGAAAGGGTTTGCATTGGAGAATGACTCAGGCGGACAAACTGCCTCTCGAATAACATCAGACAACCCGAACTGACATACGATATGCTTGGCCAAACTGGAAGACGAAGGAGGAGGAGGGGCCTTCATCACTTGCCGAGGAGAGGAGGGGGTAACATTTTTGGCGGGGATCTCCTTGCCTTTGTTCCTAACTTGTCTTTTCTCTGTCACCTTGGCTTTTGTTTTGTCGACAGCATCCTTTTTCGGATTCAGCTCTGACGCCTTCCTCTTTTTCTCCAATCCATTGGAACTATCCTTTTGCGACAACCCGGACGGAGACTCTTTCCTTCCC